GTATTTTGGAAAGTGTTCTTCTGTCTAGCATTCCCTCGGTCCCTCACTCACACATTCACCAAAATGAAAATGGTCATAGCGTATGTTCAAATATGCTCGTGTTTCGAGTGGCTCCATCAATTTCTTCAAATTTCGGATACTAACAGCAAGATTGTGTCGTTACTAATTGTATCGTGTTCTAATGCTGTCTTCATAGTGCTGAAACGTACGTTATGAGCTGATACAGCTCGATGACTATACGGGATGTACAGCTGTATAAGGAAGGAAGGAGTGATAGGGCTGCTAGGTTCAATGCAGGTACACAAAACAATAGGTCTCAGCTGATTGTTTCCACGATATTCCAGCAGCGTGTTATATCTTGGGTCCATCAGACCAAACCATTCTCACCAAACTCAACCACTTTACTGAGCCAAGCCACCTCAATGAGCCCAACCATTTCATCGAGCAGAAACGTCTCACCGAGCCCAGTTACCGCTCTGAGCCTAACCAGCATAACAAGCACAACCACCTCACTGAGCCTAAACAGCTCACCGAGCCCAACCATTTCACCAAGTCTAAACACCTCAATGAGTCTAACCACCTCACTGAGCCTAACCACCTCGCTGAGCCTAACCACCTCAATGAGCCTAACCACCTCAATGAGCCTAACCACCTCAATGAGCCTAACCACCTCAATGAGCCTAACCACCTCAATGAGCCTAACCACCTCAATGAGCCTAACCACCTCTCTGAGCCTAACCACCTCGCTGAGCCTAACCACCTCAATGAGCCTAAACACCTCAATGAGCCTAAACACCTCAATGAGCCTAACCACCTCAATGAGCCTAACCACCTCAATGAGCCTAACCACCCAATGAGCCTAACCATTTCACCAAGTCTAACCACCTCAATGAGCCTAACCACCTCGCTGAGCCTAACCACCTCAATGAGCCTAAACACCTCAATGAGCCTAAACACCTCAATGAGTCTAACCACCTCAATGAGTCTAACCACCTCAATGAGCCTAACCACCTCAATGAGCCTAACCACCTCACTGAGTCTAACCACCTCAATGAGGCCTAACCACCTCGCTGAGCCTAAACACCTCAATGAGCCTAACCACCTCAATGAGTCTAACCACCTCAATGAGCCTAACCACCTCAATGAGCCTAACCATTTCACCAAGTCTAACCACCTCCAATGAGCCTAACCACGTCAATGAGCCTAACCATTTCACCAAGTCTACAACCACCTCAATGAGCCTAACCACCTCAATGAGCTCTAACCATTTCACCAAGTCTAACCACCTCAATGAGCCTAACCACCTCAATGAGAGCCTAACCACCTCAATGAGCCTAACCACCTCAATGAGTCTAACCACCTCAATGAGCCTAACCACCTCAATGAGCCTAACCACCTCAATGAGCCTAACCACCTCACCGAGCCTAACCATTACACTGAGTCTAACCACCTCCAATGAGCCTAACCACCTCAATGAGCCTAACCACCTCAATGAGCCTAACCACCTCAATGAGCCTAACCACCTCAATCACCTCAGCAATGAGCCTAACCACCTCAATGAGCCTAACCACCTCAATGAGCCTAACCACCTCAATGAGCCTAACCACCTCAATGAGCCTAACCACCTCAATGAGTCTAACCACCTCAATGAGCCTAACCACCTCAATGAGCCTAACCACCTCAATGAGCCTAACCACCTCAATGAGCCTAACCACCTCAATGAGCCTAACCACCTCAATGAGCCTAACCACCTCAATGAGCCTAACCACCTCAATGAGCCTAACCACCTCAATGAGCCTCCACCTCAATCACCTCGCTGAGCCTAACCACCTCACTGAGCCTAACCACCTCGCTGAGCCTAACCACCTCAATGAGCCTAACCACCTCAATGAGCCTAAACACCTCAATGAGCCTAAACACCTCAATGAGCCTAACCACCTCAATGAGTCTAACCACCTCAATGAGCCTAACCACCTCAATGAGCCTAACCACCTCAATGAGCCTAACCACCTCGCTGAGCCTAACCACCTCAATGAGCCTAACCACCTCAATGAGCCTAACCACCTCAATGAGTCTAACCACCTCAATGAGCCTAACCAACCTCAATGAGCCTAACCATTTCACCAAGTACCTAACCACCTCTAATGAGCCTAACCACCTGCTGAGCCTAACCACCTCAATGAGCCTAACCACCTCAATGAGCCTAACCATTTCACCAAGTCTAACCACCTCAATGAGCCTAACCACGTCAATGAGCCTAACCATTTCACCAAGTCTAACCACCTCAATGAGCCTAAACCACCTCAATGAGCCTAACCATTTCACCAAGTCTAACCACCTCAATGAGCCTAACCACCTCCACCGAGCCCAACCATTTCACCAAGTCCTAACCACCTCAATGAGCCTAACCACCTCAATGAGCTCTAACCACCTCAATGAGCCTAACCACCTCAATGAGCCTAACCACCTCAAACATCTCAATGAGCCTAACCACCTCAATGAGCCTAACCACCTCAATGACTGACTGACTGAGTTTGGTTTTACAGCCGCGCTTTTAGCAATATTCCAGCAACATCACGGCGGGAACACCAGAAATGGGCTTCACACATTGTACCCCATGTGGGATTCGAACCCGGGTCTTCGGCGTGACGAGCCAACGCTTTAACCATTAGGCTACCCCACCGCCCACCACCTCAATGAGCCTAACCACCTCAATGAGCCTAACCACCTCCAATGAGGCCTAACCACCTCAATCACCTCAATGAGCCTAACCACCTCAATGAGCCTAACCACCTCAATGAGCCTAAACACCTCAATGAGCCTAACCACCTCAATGAGCCTAACCACCTCAATGAGTCTAACCACCTCAATGAGTCTAACCACCTCAATGAGCCTAACCACCTCAATGAGCCTAACCATTTCACCAAGTCTAACCACCTCAATGAGCCTAACCACGTCAATGAGCCTAACCATTTCACCAAGTCTAACCACCTCAATGAGCCTAACCACCTCAATGAGCCTAACCACCTCAATGAGCCTAAACCATTTCACCTCAAGTCCTAACCACCTCAATGAGCCCTAACCACCTCTGAGCTGAGCCTAACCACCTCACCAAGTCCTAACCACCTCAATGAGGCCTAACCACCTCAATGAGCCTAACCACCTCAATGAGCCTAACCACCTCAATGAGCCCAACCATTTCACCAAGTCCTAACCACCTCAATGAGCCTAACCACCTCAATGAGCCTAACCACCTCAATGAGCCTAACCACCTCAATGAGCTCTAACCACCTCAATGACCTAACCACCTCGCTGAGCCTAACCACCTCAATGAGCCTAACCACCTCAATGAGTCTAACCATCTCAATGAGCTCTAACCACCTCAATCACCTCCTCTTAAAGCCTAACCACCAATGAGCCTAACCACCTCAATGAGCCTAACCACCTCAATGAGCCTAACCACCTCAATGAGCCTAACCACCTCAATGAGCCTAAAACACCTCAATGAGCCTAAACACCTAACCAATGAGCCTAACCACCTCAATGAGCCTAACCACCTCAATGAGCCTAACCACCTCGCTGAGCCTAACCATTTCAATGAGTCCTAACCACCTCAATGAGCCTAACCACCTCGCTGAGCCTAACCACCTCAATGAGCCTAACCACCTCAATGAGCCCTAACCACCTCAATGAGTCTAACCACCTCAATGAGCCTAACCACCTCAATGAGGCCTAACCATTTCACCAAGTCTAACCACCTCAATGAGCCTAACCACCTCAATGAGCCTAACCACCTCAATGAGCCTAACCACCTCACCAAGTCCTAACCACCTTCAATGAGCCTAACCACCTCAATGAGCCTAACCACCTCACGCTGAGTCTAACCACCTCAATGAGCCTAACCACGTCAATGAGCCTAACCACCTCAATGAGTCTAACCACCTGAATGAGCCTAACCACCTCAATGAGCCTAACCACCTCAATCACCAAGTCTAACCACCTCAATGAGCCTAACAACCACCTCAATGAGCCTAACCACCTCAATGAGCCCAACCACACCTCAATGAGCCTAACCACCTCAATGAGTCCTAACCACCTCAATGAGCCTAACCACCTCAATGAGCCTAACCACCTCAATGAGCCTAACCACCTCAATGAGGCCTCAAACCACCTCAATGAGCCTAACCACCTCAATGAGCCTAACCACCTCAATGAGGCCTAACCACCTCAATCACCTCAATGAGGCCTAACCACCTCAATGAGGCCTAACCACCTCAATGAGCCTAACCACCTCAATGAGCCTAACCACCTCAATCACCTCGCTGAGCCTAACCACCTCAATGAGCCTAACCACCTCAATGAGCCTAACCACCTCAATGAGTCTAACCACCTCAATGAGCCTAACCACCTCAATCACCTCAATGAGCCTAACCACCTCAATGAGCCTAACCACCTCAATGAGCCTAACCACCTCAATGAGCCTAACCACCTCAATGAGCCTAACCACCTCAATGAGCCTAAACACCTCAATGAGCCTAACCACCTCAATGAGCCTAACCACCTCAATGAGCCTAACCACCTCGCTGAGCCTAACCACCTCAATGAGCCTAACCACCTCAATGAGCCTAACCACCATACCAAGCACAACCACCTCGCTGAGCTCAACCATTACCCTCACCACTAAGCTAAAGCACTTTCCCAAGCACAACCACCTCACCGAGTCTAAACACCGCACCAAGCATAAACACTAAGGCCAATCAGCTCATCCCGCTAGGGCTGTCACGATGCATCGCAGTATTGAGGGATTGCAATTGTTGAGTCTTCGATAGCAATTAATCGTTGATGGAAACGAAAAACTATCGATGCATCGATAGTATGTGTGACTATCGATAGTTTAGTAATTGACTTCCGTTGATAAATGCACAGCACTAAATACAGGAAGTACCAGATTCGTTCACATTGATTTAGAGTTATCCGCCCCTGTTACCTCTTAAACAAACATGGCGGCAAACACGGTATGGACTCGGAGTTTGAAATTGTGAATAACAACGCTAGAGTACTTCAGCTTGTTCTTATTTCATATAAACTATACACTCATTTGGGAAGTGACTTCAAATGAGACAATTCAAGGAGAAATAAACCCATTGCAATAGTAGGTCCCAGTAGCATGTTGCAATAGACTATCGATACATCCCGCTCATTTATCTCACCCAGCTGAACCATCTCACATCTCACCAAGTCCAACCATCTACCCAACCACAACTACCTCACCGAGCCTAAACACCTCTCTGAGCCCAACTACTTTTACAAGCACAACCACTACATCCACCTTATCGAGACCAACCACCTTAGTGAACTCAACCACTTCTACAAGCACAACCACTACATCCACCTTACCGAGACCAACCACCTTAGTGAACTCAACCACTTCTACAAGCACAACCACTACATCCACCTTACCGAGACCAACCACCTTAGTGAACTCAACCACTTCTACAAGCACAACCACTACATCCACCTTACCGAGACCAACCACCTTAGTGAACTCAACCACTTCTACAAGCACAACCACTACATCCACCTTACCGAGACCAACCACCTTAGTGAACACAACCACTTCACTTAGCCTAAATACCTTATCGAGACCAACCAACTTAGTGAACACAACCACTTCACTTAGCCTAAATACCTTATCGAGACCAACCAACTTAGTGAACTCAACCACTTCACTTAGCCTAAATACCTTATCGAAAGCAACCACCTTAGTGAACTCAACCACTTCAACTTAGCCTAAATACCTTATCGAAAGCAAACCAACTTAGTGAACACAACCACTTCACTTAGCCTAAATACCTTATCGAGACCAACCACCTTAGTGAACACAACCACTTCACTTAGCCTAAATACCTTATCGAGACCAACAACCTTAGTGAACACAACCACTTCACTTAGCCTAAATACCTTATCGAGACCAACCACCTTAGTGAACACAACCACTTCTACAAGCACAACCACCACATCCACCTTATCGAGACCAACCACCTTAGTGAACACAATCACTTCACTTAGCCTAAATACATTACCGAGACCAACCACCTTTGTGAACTCAACCACTTCACTCAGCCTAAATACCTTACCGAGACCAACCACCTCACCGAGTTCACCCGTCTCATCGAACCCAATCACCGTACCTCACTGTAGTCAACCACCTCAACCAGCCCGTTCACCTGAACAAGAGCGGACAGAGGAAGTATCCCAGTCCCCAAGGCGTAGTACTTCCTCCAGGAGGGCGGACCAAGAGGCCAGTATTCAAAGGATTACTTTATGCACCTCACTTTCGGCTCACACGTGCAATTTGTGTAGGCGCCAAACGTCTGTGCTCGGGGAATGAACCGACTGCGTTTTCGATTAAAGATTTGGAAAGCAGATTGGAAAACGTTAAACTTAAGTTAGCCTCAGCTAGGGATTTGTTTCAAATTTAAAGAAACAGATTAGAATTTGAATCTGAATTGTCAGAGTAGCCTGTTTTATGTACTTAATGTATGAATGAATGACAATTTATTTGTATACCGCCTAATATCCAGGTTATTTCCTGCTCAGTGGCGTTTTACAGAAAAAATACACAATGATTAGAAAAAACCCAGTGATGCTTAAAAAAAGACAGTAAAAGATAAGATGCTGAATATGGGGAGTCGAGGATTCAAAGCTAAAATATTGTCTGAATAGATGTGTTTTAAGTTTTTTTTGGAATGAGTCCCTTGATTTTGCACTTTTCAGTTCAGCTGGAAGTTAATTCCACAACGCTGGGGCTGCAACTGTAAAACACCTTTCCCCCATTTTAGTGGTGGTTCTGGGGATGGCAAGATCATTCAAAGCACTGATCTGTTTGAAGTTTTGTACGAAATTAGGCATCTTAGATACTCAGGAGCAGTGGGATCATTCAGGACTGAATATGTAAGAGAAAGCAGCTTATAGGTGACTCGTTGCTGTACAGGAAGTCAATGTAGCTCCCGCAGGATTGGTGTGATTTCACAGTGCTTCCTGGACCCCGTGATGAGACGAGCAGAGCTGTTCTGTAGATGCTGTAGGAGTTTGATGTTTGAGCTTGATGTTCCATAAAGCAGTGAGTTACAGTAATCAAGGCTGGATGTGATACTAGCTTGCACAAGAGTTTTCAGACAATCCACAGTCAGATATTTCTTGATGTTGCTGATATTGTAGAGACAGAAAGAGACAGAACGACAGAGGGATCTCACGTGGGGTTGAAAAGACAAGGATGGATCAAACATCACACCGACATTCCCCATAGCTCAGCTGGGACTGACAGAGCTGTCGCCAATGGTGATGCATGAGGGGTGGGACTTTCAGTCGTTGCTATGAGCCAGTGTAGATACCTAGTTGTTATACTATAACATTCTGCGATACAGATTCTAAGCTAATAGGCTACAGTTTGTGGTTGCGCGTGGTCGTGTGCACACAGCTCAGGTCACAAATCAGTTGAAGTTAAGCAACGTCGACCTCGGACAATCCTTGGATGGGTGACCGTGTTTGGCAGCCTGACTCCTGAGAGTTTCTAGGACTTCAGTCCTGCCCAACAACGAAGCACATGATGCATGTGGTCGCACCTTAGGCAAGTGAGTTTGTTCAAATTGCCTCTGTTCACCCAGCAGAAAAATGGGTACCCGGTGGGATAAAGTCTTGTGACTATAACCTTCTAGCGCCTAACAGGCAGCTTGGGTTATCCGGGGTAATAAGAATCAGATTCTGATTAAGCGCCGTGAGCAATCACTTGGTGTTTGGAGACTGTGCGCTATAGAAGATGACTTATTATTATTATTATTATTATTGTAAAGACATCATGTCGCATTGTCAATCTTACAAAACCGCCAGAAGTCGAGAATGCTAAACCTTCACAGGTTGGTCAAATATCACTGCATCTTCTATATCCTGAGTTGACTGCCAGACATCTCACCCGGCGCCAAGCTGCAGCAGCTGGATCAACAGGTGTTAAAACTTAATGGAGGAGACGGGTGGTTTAGTTGTGTCTAGTGCCGCGATCTAGGTAAGACGTACCATAAGTCATGAGTTCGAATCCGATATTCATGTTTCCTGGTCAGAGGTTTCCCAAAGAGGAAAACGTCTAAGAACTGCATCAACCTGGGCCTCCCTTCCACACTTACTTACGCCGCTCACTCGATACGACATGGTGGACGGAACTCTGATACTGGGCCGGGGTCACTTGTATCTACAACCCACACGAGGTCGGTGTGTAACTGATGTGGAAAGTTCTTTGTTGTGTCATTTCAAACAAGGACGTACTGTTGAGACATTGTAGACTAACAACTAGTCTCTGAAATGAACATATTTTACAGAAAGAAAATGTTCATAGTAATATATATATATAAATACACTTTCTAGACTTGCGTGGGCTTTCCTGGATATATTTGCTTCCAGAGACATTGGTGTAAAGTCAGTTGTACTTGAACCCTCTGAATACAGTTTTGAAATTTACAGTTAAACTGACGCCTCTTAGATATGTAGAAAGACGTTTGTGTTCGTGTGTGTGAGTGAGTGAGGTCCTATGTTGCTTTGAACCTCACCAAGGCCAAGGAAAAGGAAAAGGTTCACCGTCTAAAGCTTACCGCTGGTTCACCGTGTTTTGGTTTTTCATCTTTTGTTAATTTGCATGGAACATGTAACTATAGATAAACATAAGTGAAAGTTCCAGTGGCACCATTTGTCTTATTAGGGGCATTGGTTTCATCTTTTGTTAATGCATACATGTGTAGATAAACTTAATGAAAATACTCATAAATGCTACTCTGTCTCTCTTTATCATGACACTTTCTTCTTGGTCTGCTACTTTCTATGGTCAATATGGAAATAGACTCCCCAGAATCCGAACTGATTATTCTAAATGAATCTTACAATGTGTGAAGCCCATTTCTGGTGTCCCCCGCCGAGATATTGCTGGAATATTGCTAAAAGTGGCGTAAAACCAAACTCACTCACTCTAAATGAATCTTGTGTTAAAAAGAGTTCACTTTCGTTTACGTCTGTGGAATGTAGTTTAAAAGAGGTTTCAACCACAATCCGTCTGCCCACCTTCACTAGTTTCTGCAACATCAACCATGTCAATCTCTTCCTGTGAGCAATGATTGACTAGAACAACTTCACTGTTCACATTCTTGTCATTTTGAGGACTACATGTTGCTGCTGGCTCATGATATTTCTTGATATTCATTTGTTTGTATGTGCTGACAAAACCACCTTCCATAGAGCTAACTTGATACATGTCCTCTCGGGGTTTTCCTGATATCATGTAGGGTCCATTCCATTTCACTATATAAGTCCTTTTGTCTCTTTCGCGATTTCACCATCACTTTGTCACCTACTGTAAACTTTTGTGCTTCCACTCCGTGGCGTCTGTCAAAATGCTTCTTCTGAATTTGTTGAGCCTTCTCATTAATACTCAAAACAGTCTCTGTAATTTGAGCCTTCATGTCTTGTATTGTCTGAACACACTTCTCAATCTCTTTAGCATTCGTGGTTGCAGTTTCCCCATGACAATTTTCATTAGCCTACGGTAATAGTTCCTGTTCGATGGAATATTTGCCGTATGTGCGGAATGTTTATTCGTGTCATCCATTCTCTATTTCACGGCATTTATTCTGAAACGGAACATTTACTACTCGGAATCATGTTTACACTGCGTTATATCTGTTAGCTGACTACGGAGACAAGGAATACATTGCACACATCCTGTGATGACGAATCAGCGCTTCATCAGCATCCGTACATAGATGTGAAGGCAGTGAAGTCAGTGAAGTAAGTTATAAAGGGACGTAACTCGTGCCACACATTAAGCACGGCCTGTTGTCTCAGTCTATACAACATAAACTGCGTCTGCAACTCCATAATTAGTCGACTAGTCTGACTTCTGATAAGAAGTCGAAGATTCGACCAGTCGCCTAGTAATTCAAAAGACGAACTGTGTACATTGATGCCCAATAGTTCCCCAGCCCGTTAGACTAACGCTTAGTTTCTGAATATATATACTTTTGACAGTAAATAACAACCCATTTAAATTGAAAAGGAGCCCCAGGGAGACCAGAGATTGAACCTGAGGAAATCTAGACTTGCTTCATTTTGGGCTTTGCAGGGAGGGTTGGCAGCAGGGAAAATAATGTGGTTGAGGGACTGTGGGTCCGACTACCAGCCTGTGGGCGTGGACCGGTATTGCTAACAGCGCACATGGAGCTGGGCCAGTGTTTACATAAGGTCATAGTGTACGGGCCACTCTCCCGTCCTCTCTCTGCAGCCTTCTTCTCACCCTCTGTTCACGTGATGTTAAACCAGGTCTATCCATGCTATCCTATATTTATAGTGACCCGCACTGGGTTCCGTCTAGGTGCTGAAGCACAAGACGACCTTGCATTCCTCCACAGACTTATCAAGGTGGAGGCAGGATTCAATGACGCATGCCTTGCGATGGAATGAGACAGGACCATTCTCTAGGAACTCGTTCAGTGACGTAGCTGTGATTTATATAAGCGAAATTGATAGTGTTTACAGACCACACCAAGCAAGAGCATGATGGTTACTGTATATAATATACGAAGCAAC